CTATGTATCCTATGACGGATTTATAAGCAAAAAAAATGAAGCCTTTTTTTTTGAAAGCATTCAGATCGAGAAGTGATGACTGATGATAATAGCATGTACCTTGTTATATGAACTTTTTTAACAATGAGATTGGGACAATGTAAGGGTCTTTGCTTTCGTACACTTTGAAGGCTATTTTTACATAAGGGAGCTCAAGATTAGAGCTGCCGATGAACGGAAATGTGCGATTGATGTATTACCCTGCACAAGAAAACGTTATTTATTAAACAGGATATGTGTCTATTCTTTGACTATAAGCTCAATATGGCCGGCAAGAGTTGCGGTTTCACTTCCGTCTGGTTGCTTTTCAATCTATAAAAATAATGATAAGCCATTGAATGTTGAAAAATGCATGCTGAAAGAATTTTGTCTTTGAGGAATCCAAGACATACGTTTGGCTTCTGGTCAGGCGATGAATAGAGACCAGCGTCGGTTTCCTTGAATGATTCGATGACAAGTGTGCCATCCCTGTTCACATGAGCATTTGTTTCAGGAACTGCCGGTTTGTTGTCCTAAACAGCCGAGATACTCCTATGTGAAACGTGTAGGAATGCGCATAGTTTTAAAAGCTTTAAAAGAAAGTAACAAGCCTTATCCAGGGGTGACAAAGACTAGGCTGTAGCAAAATGATGTAATTAAGAGGTGTCTTACTGCAGTAACGAATTGACTGCATCTCGGTCCTTTTTCGGTTGGTCCGCAATACTTGATGAACTCCTCAATGTCATCCTTTCTTACGCGTTTCCACGTTACAACGTCTGACCCTAACCTGAGTTCAACTTTTTTACCAACCTAAACACAGAATATTGCAATGATCGAATGGATATCATCGGAGTTAATTTACCTCTGCTTGTTGAATCATAATGGATCCATAAACGGAATAGATAACAAGAAGAAGGACTACAAACTTCAACCACATGTCTCTAAATGTTTCTATAACTTATATGTACGTTTACGACCTTTATAGTTGTTCGGAAAACATGATCCTATAATTATTTCGGTACCCTAATTTATTTTTTCTCCAACTATTCTAGAAAGGAATAATGTTATTCTACCGTTAGAGAACCACAGATGAAAGTTTTTGAAAGCGCTGCGATATATCAAGCTAACTAGGCAGCAGATATAATTTAGTGGGAGGAGATTTTGCTTGCGTAAAAATTTTTTTCTAGACGTATTCGTGGATAACTACATCTAATCGCGGAAGCGGGAAGAAGGAAAATGTAACTATAACTTATTTATCCTTTTATAGCAGATCTTCAAACT